TATATATTAATTTATCCTATTTACTCACTATAAAAGTTTTCACTCAGTCTGTTTCACCTTGAAGGCCACACTATTCTCTCCAGGCTGGTGTTTGTAGACCATATATAGCTTCTTCCCATAACAAAACAGACTTTTTCTCAAGGTTTATTCATAACATGTTACTGTTTAACCAAAGTGTCTGTAATTTGTTTTGACTCTGACTACTTTTCCATTGTTGTAAGTAAGGGGGAATGAACGCTGCTCAGTGCGAATAGGGCAGAATGCTGTGTTAAAATGGCTGTATGATGAACTGTTCTCTCTTTGCAAAGATATGAATAAATGTTACGACTGAGTGAAATCTATCAATCTCCGTTTATTTAACTAGGGTGAATAGTAGAATACTTTTTTCCCACGACACTGCCTTGCGTTCCAGAGATAAACCAGTCGTACTTAGAGGGATGCTAATGATCTTATTTTTAATAGAATCAATTTAATTTATAAAGAATCACATAAAATCATTAGTGCTAAGAGCTGGGGGAATGGACAGTTCCTGAGATTTCTGCCTGTTATTTTTCAATTTTAGCTTTTGTTGCTGCCTCTTCAAATTAATTTACAAGAACTGTGGCTCCGTCCATCTCTGCATGTGAGTCCTCAACAAATCTACGTATTTCCTGACATTAGTTTCATTAGGTTACTCTTACTAATCCTCCATTAATGTTACATTCAGGCAGTTCATTTACTGAAGTTATTATTGTGTGAATTGAACACTGTTAAAACATTAGATGAAAGTAACCACATTAAATTGTGGTTACTATAGTCACTTTTTTGTAATTAACGTGCATCTAATAAGTAAAAGATATGAAAGTTGGTTAATTAATGTCTACATAACAAAGTCAACACTTTAGGCTACCTAGAAACAAAACAAAAAAAATCGTATTTAGACCAATGTTTCCATGATCAACTGATCCTCCTACGTTATGATTTATGTGTTGAATGGAATTAGATCATAAAAAAGGAAGCAAATAGAAAACAATATTTTTTTTTTTGATTTTTGCTTTAACTTTATTACATTTCAGTGGTACTAACAGGCGATAAAACCCCTGGTTAGTTTGATCACATATTTGAGTGGTAGGGCAAATCACAGTGAGGAAAGCACTTTGCATTCGGAAGCTGCAAAATTACACACAAAAAAATCTTATGTCAGAGAGAATGTTTGCCGGCTGCGATCAGCTGATTCCTGGAGGCTGCAATGGCAAATAATCGATAGACAGCAGTGGAAAAGCACCCTATGTTTTTACTGACGAAATGTGAAAAAAAAAACAAAAAAAAACAGAGGGACTGAATGGTCAGTTGTGCTTCAAACTGTGTTGTCTTATAGAAAAGTCTTAGGGACTGCAATGATGTAAATGAATGGAAATCTGTCAGATATACATAAATATGGAACAGAGGCTTCAGCTTTGCAGGGGTGACCTAGAGCTTCATATAAACACTTTTGTTTTTATTTTATATATATTAGCTAAGGTCCCCATTTGGAATTTGAAAATCAGGAGCAGAAATAAACCTGTTGCAGCTGTTTTTCAGTAGATCTCGTTGAACAATGGTGTTATGCAACTTTAATAAATGTATTGTCCACCACAGTAGGGGTGGTAAATATGTTAATTAATCAAATATTATTTGGAATGTCACATATTGTTTATTCACAGACGGCCTACTGGCTGATTGTTAGAGTCACAAATGAAATTGTGATCCGAGCTCAAATCATGGTTAAACAGATAATTCTGCACTTATATGGAATAAATTCTCCACAACTTCCATTCAAAATATAAGCGTTTTTAAATCAAATATCATTCAGCTCCAACTCAAACATATTTCAGTTAAAAACTCTTGACTATAACTAGTGCAACTCAACTAACTAATCTACTATGTACAAATAGGAAGTAAAAAACTATTGAAAACCATTATCACTGATTTAAAGTTTGGATGTTTTTATACCAATTAACATGCAAATCCATGAGGTGAATAAAAGATTATTTTGTCAAATAATGTTCTAGAGAATTTTTGCTTGATCAAAAGTCAATAACCTTTAGTTAATTGATTCTGATTTAATCAAAAGGTAATGAGCATAAAAAAACATGAATTTTAATATTATATTACTGTTTAAACCGTAAGTGAAATAAAGCTTGTTGTATTTTTTAACAACAACTCAAAACATATTAATGTAGCATAGCGTACAATTTCATTCTGTTAGCTTTGTCTTTACTCTTAAGTAAATTCATGAAATTATCAAAATCATCAAGACATATTGTTTAATTACAATCTGTTCTTAACACTGGCAGACCTTGTACCTCTGCCCAGGTCTATTTTGGAATTTTTTAGTTTCCTACAACAGTTAGCGGCTTAGCATGGCAGGCTCACAGAAAGGGGGGTTCCTTTGTCCCAAAGGTGCCACACACCAAGGAAAAGGCTTCCTTCAGAGGCCTTCACCTCAAGTCTGGGTCTGTAACTTTTGAGAATCAGGAAAAAATGTTAACTGTCTGCTTTGCATCAACAATGTCAATGTCAACCATCAAGACCTAGCCTTGGTCATTCTAGAGATCTGGACCCTAAGCCTGGTGCCATGATGTTGTCCTCTTCCAATATGAATCCCAGGGAAGCTTCATGGAAAGAGGAAAAAATTCTTTGTGTTGTTGTGTTTCACTGTTCTCAAACTCCATGGGGGGCCAAGGCACACCTCTGTTGGTCCTGTGGACTTAGCTGCAGAGATGGCAAAAGTACTCACTTTCCATACTTGAGTAAAAGTACAGATACTTGTGTTAAAAA